TGATGTTTACAAAGTATCTCATGAGTTTCACATATCTCCTATCAAAGCCAGCAGGGCCATGGCCAGAACCTTCTGAAATGGTCATTATGTACTGCTGGATGAACCTCAGTTCATTTTGGATAAGCCCCAATGGTTTGGATGCTTAGAGGAACTTCTTAGTTTTAGAGACCAGGGTGGACATTTTGGCAGACGAGCTTTTCTTGTGAGATATTTAGCATCTTAGACTCTTGCCCTGGGTAGAGATACAGCATGAATCTTTTATTTATAGTGTAATAGGACCTTTTGGATGTTAAGTATTGTAGCTTGTTTCTGTCCATTTTGCAAGCTGCAGTGATACCCTGACCCTGCTCAGTCTGGGAGTGCATTTTTTTTTTTTTTTTTTCCTCCTTTGATTCCCGGAACTCCTTTGCTCTGATCAGAGAAGATGATTAAAAGAGTGAGAAAACAATACTTAAATCTTCACAAACAAATAAATTGTTTGTGTGAAGTCCAGGGGGAAGGGGGTGGGGGATACTATTTATCCTCCTGGACTTTCCCATGTGGGTGAACTTCAGAGGTGAGGGCTGCTCAGTAAGGAGCTAGTTGTGCACTGCCTTGAAACCTGAGAAGCTATCAAATGTGACCCAATGTCAGACCTGGGGCTGTATCTCCATTTTTAGGTTACCCAAATGGTTCCCTTAAGTCCTCTAGTCTGGGGAGAGAGACCAGCATGGAAGAAAAGGAAGTGGGATAGCAAAGAGCAAGGGCTCTTTTCAGACAGGTAGCAGTGATCTGCTTTCTATGGCAACTTCTGTCTGACTTTATTTGTGTTAACATAAATACACCTGTCTCTCAATAGTGTATGGGCACCTTGCCACTGGTTAGGCAAGGCACATGCACACAGAGAGGGAGAGTTCTTGCCCCAGAAAACATTACACTTTAAGCAGACAAGGGGAACATCATAATCTACATTTACATATAGCCAGTAAGACTGCGTCCAGATGAGTATGACTGTGCAGTATGTGGTGCCGCAGACACATCTGCAATGCCACAAACCGCACGTTCAGCTGTTCTCCAAGCTGCAAGGGTGCAGCACAAGAGGTGTTTTTTTTTTTTTTTGACCCCTGGATGTCTAGGGATCAAAAAACCCATTTAAAAAAAAAAGTAGAGTGGCGCACATATGGGCAGCACATGCCAATGAAAAAAGGAGCCTGGCCGGCCACAGCCACACTCCAGCTGCTGGCCAGGCTCCAAGCAGCAGGATTGCCACTGTTGCAGCCCCAGGAGGCCCCCAGGCAAGGCTGCTGGAGTCAGCCCAATGCTGGCCCAGCCTCCCCTCCCCCACCCAGGTTATCCTGCTGCGTATAAGAGGGTATGTAGCACAGGTGTTCCTGGGTGACAACTAGCAGCGGCCCAAGGTGTCCTGCTGCTAGTTGTCCCCGGGGAACCAAATGTCCACGCTTATGTGGATGCGGTCTAAGGGCCCAATCCAGCTCCCCCTGAACTTGGTAAAACTTCCATAGACTTTAATTATGCAGGATCAGACCTTTAATGACATCATGCCAAACTCTCCAGTACAGGCATGTGTCTTTATTGTAATGTCTCAGATGGGGAAACTGAGGCACTCTTTTAAGACGCCTCAAGTCGGACACCAGAAATTACCAGCTGCTTCATGGCAGTCTCCCCATCCTCTCTTTCAGGCACTGGGAGGTGAAAGACTAAACTATTCAAACTCAGTTACCAGAATTTGCATTTAGAGGCCGAGATACCCAGCTTTCAGTAGAGGCATTGAGCACCTGCTGCTCCTACTGTCTTCAGTAGGGGTTTTGGATGCTAAGCACTTCTGAATTAGCAGCTATACTCCTTATACACCCAGCCCATCTCTAGCATTTAGTCTGTGGAGCAGGGATTGACTGTTTGCTCAGGTTGCTTGAAGCTGCTGGAAGATGATCACCAATATTATTTAGGGAACCTAAATTTGAAGATCTTTGATTGATCTTCAGTGGGAGGAGAACCCAGGAGTCCTGACTCTCCAACCACTGCTTGGAATCCTGTTCTTGCTCCATTGGGTAAATTTTCTGTCCCTTGCAACTGAGCATCCTCTGTGGCCTCTGCTGTGCGGGACACTACAACATCCCTGCACATGTCCTGGTTCAAAGGTAGTCCAGGCCTGGGAAGGTTTGCCCTGAAACTGTTATTAATTCTGTTGAGGGAGTAAAATCTGTATGCCAGCTTCTCTTGACCAGCAGCACCATCTCAGTCCTGGCTCCTTACAGCTGCCCTCTTAAGACAGAGGTGTGGCAAAAGTACTGCTTGGGTTTCTTGCTCCAGCAGCTGACACAATGGTCCTCCTCAGTGCGGTCTGTTTGCTCACTTAGGACAGGAGGTAAAGGAAAGTCAGAAACATGAGACCTAAAACTACAAGCCTGGGAAAGTTGGGGAGTGAGTTACAACCAGAAGCAATTGGTTACCTTCAGGGCTTCTAGTTGGGAGATAAAACTTCCCTCTCTGGTGCAAACTGCAAGTCTTCAGACTGTCATGCACACACCATTTCCAAGGCTAGAGCTTTCCCCGGCTGCTGAGAGAGCCAAGGATATTTTGGCAGCACCTCATCAGGATGGGAAAGGCATCCTCTGTGGCAGGCTTTTCTGTGCTTGAAAGGGAAGCCACCTTATTTCACTCCTTGGAGCTGCAGATACTCTCCCTTGCCCAATTCTGCAGTCATTTCCCCAGTTCTATCTTGGGTGCATCTCCCATCTCTATCTCACAGAAGAGTGATAATCAGGGATCCAGCTCTGGTCTCTGGACTACCAGGCTATTGCCTTTACCACTAAACCTGTACCTGAGCCAGCAGAAACCAGTTACAGCTTTCATCTCCGGTGCAGTGCCCCCTGCCACTCCCACAGCCACTCTCTTGGGAAGGTCTTATTTTGGTGTAGCCCAGAGAAACAGTGCAGTCTGCCGAGTAGCACGTAGGTCTGGGGCCAGGATACCTACCTTCTGTTTCCAATGCCATCACTTCCCCAGGGGCTACTAACACCAACTTTTGTAAAGCGCATTGAACAAGCAGCAGTGCAAAGCATTATGACTGCAGTTCAACCCACTGCTTAAAGAGGCAGTGCTTCCCGGTAGTCTTCCTACAGTGCCGCCTTCTCCTTCAGAGCATGAATCACTTCATTCACAGGCTGCTGTGTGCTATCTGTGCCTGGGGAGCTCAGATAAACCACAATGGCCTGCAGTAGCTGAGAGCTGCAAGACCTTGTTGAGAGTAGGTGAAGTTAAGCAAATGTTAATAGAAATTAGAGCCTGGTTTATATCTGCAAGTGAGGAAGGTTGGTTTTGTGGTTCAAATGTTAAGTTCAAGTGCTTGGCTCTGGGACAGACTGTCTGGGTGACCCTGGACAAGTGACTTCATGCCTCTGGTCAAGATTATTAGGGTCACTGAACCTCTTAGCTGGCAGGTAGCCTATAAAAGATACCTGAAAGGGGCCTGGTTTTCAGAGGCAGTGGTTGATGCTCTTTGAAAAGCAGTGCACTTTTTAAAAGCCTCAAGTTGGGCACCAGAAATTACCGGCTGCTTCATGGCAGTCTCCCCATTCTTTCTCTCTCTCTCGGATGTTGTCTCCCTTGACTGTTTAGACAAGGTTCTTCTGCAGGAACCGTGCCTGCTTCTGTGCAGCCCCTAGCACAATGGGGTATAGAATATTTGGATGATATTTTGCCTATTTGGTTACAGTAAGCCCATAGCACTAGAGAATATCCTGATAGGGTTTCTGTTTTCAGAACCTGGAAATAATAATTGGATGCTATAATGTGAGGTTTCTTATGCCTCTTTCTAGGCACACTGGAAATATATTAAGAGGAGGCCCGCCCTCAGTTGCTCAGTGTTTTTGGTCCAGTCCAGACAGTCAGGGGCAACTAGGAAGCCAGAAGAAGAGGAATGCAATAATTTTGAGCCATTTGAAGGTCAAAATCAGTGTCAGCGATTGGTGAAGGTTAGATCAGTTCAAACTTTTGTCTGCTCCCAGTGCTGGTACTGGCTTGAATCCAAAGCATGTTGAAGTGATAGGAGCCTTTCAGTTGACTTCAGCTGACTTTGGATCTGACCCATAAACCTCTCAAAGCCAGCCAGAGGTGAAAACTGACCAGTTTCTTGAGCCTCATCCCAGTGCAGCAAATCTTTCCATTGACTTCAGACTTGAAATCAGACTTTTTGTCTTTCTGAACCGAAAGGAGCTGGACTAAATCCTTTGGTGTTCAGGCTGTGCTCCTCCTGGCTGGACAGGGGAAGCAGGAGTGACTGTCACTGAAAATGCGGGAAGATGCTATATATAAGGCGTCCTTGGTGCCAGGGGTAATTCCAAACATGTCACTTCAGTACATGGCACAGTTCAAGGTTGTGTGTATTTTAGGTCAGGCTCCTGCTGGAGAGGCTTCCTGGATCCTGCGTTGTATAAACAGAGATGTGTTTCTGGTTCCCTCCTGGTTCTTCCTTTCCAGGGATTCTTTCATGCAAAAACACATTCTTTCTTGCCTGTGTGAGGCAAGGCATCTCTGAGTCGTTTCTTGAGGGCTCAGTCCTTCCTCTGGGGGATGGTTCAGGACCTGCAGGTTCAGTGCTCAAGCTGCACCACTAATGCATAGTTTTGTCCTCTGCCCATGTCCCCTGCAGGATTTATGCGGTGCCACCACCTGCGACACACTGGGCATGGCTGATGTTGGCACTATGTGCGACCCCAAGCGCAGCTGCTCCGTTATTGAGGACGACGGGCTCCCTTCTGCCTTCACCACGGCGCATGAGCTGGGTAAGGGGCTGGGGGGAGCAGGAGGCTGGGAATGCCAGTCCCTGTTTGTGCTACTCCAGGGCATCTTATTCATGCGCTGTGCAGCTGAGGTCCCTCTACCCTCCATGTGCTCTGCCATTCAGCTGTGGTTGGATCTTGATCTCAAAGTATTTTTGCACAGAGGGATAACTTGAGCATTCAGTACTCCTCATGCCTCAGTGTCATGTAGAACATCTGTGGCCAAGCCAGGAATTGAACCCAGGAGTCCTTACCCCCTGCCTGGCGCCCTAGCCACTGCACGGAACTGCTCCTCTGCTGATGCTAGAGCTGCATGTACCTTTTGTGAAGCCATGTGGTTCATTGACGCTTTTCCTCGTGTTGTACCCTTGGGGCATGACTCCACCACGGCAGTAGGGAGCTCTGTGATGTGACCCAAGAAATAAGCCCCAAGCTTGAGTATCAGGTGAGGGGAATGCTCCTGAATGTGCTGGAAACCAGGGTTAGTGTGCACTCTCCTTGGGGTGTCCTCACTTTCTCAATTGCAGGGTGAATGTGTGGGGCACAGGAGGAGGTGGGTAGCGCTTAATCCACTGGTGATATATGGAGCCTTGGACTACAGCGGTGTGGAGGACCAGGGTTGTGCTCATGTGATGTGCATAGGTATCTAGTGTCTTGGGCAACCATTCATTCCCTGTGCCTTGTGCCTGCTTGCCAACACCTGCCAGACCATTCTCAGGTTTAATAGTGAGAGCCTCGGTCGAGCCTTCTGTGGCTTGGGAACTGCCACTCTAACCAAGTCCGCTGTAGAGCCCAGGACTGTCTGCCACCTGGGGAGGAAAAAAACATGCCTCCCGAACCTGCTAATGTTTATTGCTCCATCATTAGGAGGGCAGGGAAAGGGAGGGAAGCCTGCAATGTTTAAAATAGCCCTGAATTGCAACCCCAGGAAGTTTAGACAATAGCCAAGCATCCAGAACAGCTTACTGGGGAAACTCCACCTCGGGGTGAGACAGCAAGACTCACCAGCTTTCTTCCCGGCACTCCTGGGAGGTTGGAGGCAAACCATTGGAAAAAGGCTGCTGGGAAGTGAGAGTGGCTGGTGTGGGCGGCTGAGCCATCCCAGCTATATTGTGTCCTTGATGCCGCTTTGGTTTATTTTCCAGGATTGAGGAGACCTGAAATAACACGCTGGGGCTGGGATCCGTTAGGCACACCCTCAGATCCGGATTCACATGTACTCCCTCAGGGGCTGAGCTGTGAAATCTGCTTTTCTGTTGCAATTTCCTTGCTTTCTCTTTCTCCCGTTCAATTTTGCTTTCTCTCATTCTTTCAAAATAAGCCAATGTCCATACACGAAGCAGATGGTGTGAGTTTTGGCTAGAAAAAGTGCTGGCTTGGGGACCTCACTGGCAGGGTTACTTACATGTATTATGACTTGTCTGTCTTATGGGCAATCTGATTGAAACACAAGGAGTGGAGCTGGCAAAGCTGTCCGAAGTGGGGGCGGGGGAAGGCCTGCGATGCCGGCATTTCAGAGCTGTAGGCCCACAGACAATAAGCGTTTCTTCTGGGTTGCAGAGAATGGCCAAGAGCTGGGGTGAAGTGACTCATTAGCATCTAGGAGGGGCACACAGAGTCCACGGGGAGAGACCTCACAGCTGAGGCAATGCTGGATTTGCTTTGCAATGTAGGAGTGGTAGCTTGTGAAAGCCAATGAGGGCTCCATGACACTGGCTTGAGCAGAAGTAGCAGGGCTCAGCCATGCCCAGGGCCTCCTTCCAGCTCACCAGGGTCTCATGGGACCAGCCAGAGTGCTCAGATGAATTGCACCCCACCCTGCCCGAGGGATGCCCTCGTGCCCTGGTCCCCCCACCCCCAGAGCTGTTTGTTGGAGGAGAGAAGATGCTTAGTGAAGGACAGATCTCTGTGGAGATGTTAGCTTATCTTAAGCTTTAAGGAGGAGATGCTTCCCAATTTAGCCAGTGAGCTGTGGGCTAAAGGGGAGTGGGATTTTCAGTTTCCAGGATGCAGGTATTGTTTCTTCCACAGTGATCCCAAGATGGGTGCTGAGACGCTGGCTCTGCTTGCTCACGCCCACCGACCGTGTCCGTGAGAGCCATGTGCTGGGTAGTCGCTTCTTGGCTTGTGCCAAGCAGCTTTTTCTCATGTCCTTGTGCATGGTGCTGGGTGAACCCAGTGTTATGCTAATGGGCCAGCACCCAGCATGCAGCACACTGAGAGCAGGGTGAGCAGGCGATGTGCATCTTGGTGGCCATTTCAGGATTGCTGTGGAGAACAGAGCACACCCTTAAGGCCAGAGGGCGTTGTTACAGTGATGCCAATCCCCTAAGATGACGCTTGGCTTCACGGTTTCATTAGGGGCAGGTCATGTCAGACCAACCCGATTGCCTTTTACGATCAGGTCACAAAAGCATTGGATGCAGGTGTTGCTGTGGATGTAGTCTTTCTGGACTTCAGCAAGGCCTTTGACACTGTCTCCCACCCCATCCTCATTAAAGAACTAGGTGACTGTGGCACTGATGCCTACACAGTCAGATGGACTGCAAATTGCCTAAAGGGTCGCACTCAGAGGGTGGTGGTGGATGGGTCATATTCGACCTGGGGGGAAGTGGGCAGCGGAGTCCCCCAGGGCTCGGTCCTTGGGCCTGCGCTGTTCAATTTCTTTATCAGCAATTTGGATGATGGGGTGAAAAGCAACCTGTTCAAATTTGCTGATGATACCAAAATTTGGGGTGAGGTGGGCACGTTAGCAGGGAAGGAAAGACTGCAGAAAGACCTGGATAGGTTGCAGGGGTGGGCTAACAAAAACAGGATGCGTTTCAATACGGACAAGTGCAGGGTGCTGCACTGGGGCAGGAGTAACCAGCAGCACACTTATAAGATGGGAAACTCCCTTCTTGAGAGCACGGAGGCAGAAAGGGATCTTGGAGCTTGGAGTCATCGTTGACTCCAAGATGAACGTGGGCCGACAATGCGAGGTCATGGTTGGCAGGGCTAACCGAACCCTATTGTGCATCCACAGGTGCATCTCAAGTAGGTCCAAGGAGATGATCCTCCCCCTCTACGCGACACTGGTCAGGCCACAGCTGGAGTACTGTGTCCAGTTTTGGGCACCCCACTTCAAGAGGGATGTGGACAACA